GGTGCCGCTGGCTCCGTGTGGCGGTGCCCTTGTCGTTGTCGTTGTCCCGGTGCGCGCTCCGCCGCTCTCGGGCGCTCGCGGGGTGGGCAGGGCTGGGGGAGCTCCCAGGTCATCAGGGCCAAGGATGAACTTGCCCCTGTGCTGTGGCTCGGCTTTTGCAGCCTTATTTGTGCCTTTATCCCTTTCCTGCTTAAGCTTTTATGGTCTTGATACCCTTCTTTATGCACTTCTTACTTAGGCTTTTCTACTTTGTTTATACTTTTTTTGCTTAGGCTTTTATGTCCTTTATACCCTCCTTACAAATGCTTTTATACCCTTATTTATAACCTTATTTACACCCTTATTTATACTCTTCTTAGGCTTTTACACGCTTCTTTAACACTTCTATTTATGCTTTCCTAGCCTTCTTTGTACCCTTCTTACTTACTCTTTTACACCCTTCCTACGTATGCTTTCATACCTTTTTTTAACTCTTCTCTCTTGGGCTTTTAGGCCCTTTTTTAACCCTTCTCACTTAGGCTTTAATACCCTTTTTTAACCCCTCTCACTTATGCTTTTAGGCCCTTTTTTAACCCTACTTATGCTTTTAGGCCTTTTTTTAACCCTTCTCACTTGGGCTTTTAGGCCCTTTTTTAACCCTTCTCACTTGGGCTTTTATACCTTTTTTAAGCCTTCCTACTTAAGCTTTTATGCCCTTTTTTAACCGTTCTCACCTAAGCTTTTGTACCCTTATTACCTTTATTACTCATGCTTTTCTACCCTTGTTTCTACCGTTCTTACTTATGCCTTTAAACCCTTCTTTAAAGACTTCTCTTGCACTCCCTGACCAGCACATTGAGCCATAATAAATCACAACTGGAGAATGGACTCCCTCGCCCCATCCTGTCCCTCCCTGCAGGGACCTGTGCCTGCCAAATCCACACCTAGTGTGGTCACCTGGGCTGTGATGAACAAGAACTGATGTGGGGTTTGCTCTGTTTTCCCCAGCAGACATGAAAGTCATCACCTGTGAGATAGTGTGGCACAACAAGGAGCCTGTTTACAGCTTGGACTTCCAGCATGGAGCTGATGGGAGGATCAACCGCTTGGCCTCAGCAGGGGTGGACACAGCTGTGAGGGTCAGTGCAGCCTGGGTGGTTTGGGGCAGAATATTGGGGTGTTGGCTGTGCATGACACTGTGGAGGATGATTTAGGGTGTAGCTGTTTACAGGATCACAGAAGGTTTGGGTTGAAGGGACATTAAAGCTCATCCCATCCCACCTCTGCCCTGGGCAGGGACACCTCCCACCAGCCCAGGCTGCTCCAAGCCCCATCCAGCCAGGCCTGGAACATCCCAGGGATGGAGCAGCCACAGCTGCTCTGGGCAACCTATGCCAGTGCCTCAGCACCTCACAGGGACCAACTCCTGCCCAATATCCCATCCAACCCTACACTCTGTCAGTGGGAAGCCATTCCCTCGTGTCCTGTCACTCCAGGCCCTTGTCAATAATCTCTCCATCTCTCCTGTAGTTCCTTCAGATCCTGGAAGGTCTCAGCACTTCACAGGGAGGAATTCCTGCCCAATATCTAATCTAACCCTCTTCTCTTTCACCTTAAGGGCATTCTCCCTTGTCCTGTCATTCCAGGCCCTTGTAAAAAGTCTCTGAAATTGTTTTATTCCAGTCACTCCAGCCAAAACTTTTCACTTCCTCATTTCTTCCCTGTTGATATATATATATTTGAGGGATTTTTTAATACATATTTTAGGGCTAGAAAACAGTCAATTATCTGTGACACAAAAGATGTGTGTTAATACATTATCATTATCCCATGCTGCTAAATCCCTGTGTTCCCAGGTTTGCTCAACACGTTTGAAGCTGAAGGTTGTTGATGAATGGAGAGAGAATGATGTTAAATGTTTGGTTGGGGTTTGTCTTATTAATTTCCTGGAAATACTCATGCAATTAACCTGGCTGAAAAAAATCCTGCAATGTCATTACAAATTCCTACCCACAAACCTACCAGAGGAGGTTCAAATTAGATATTAGAAACAATTGTTCCCTGCCAGAGTGTTGAGGCCTTGGAATGAGCTGCCCAGGGAGGTGGTGGAGTCACTGTCTCTGGGAGTGTCCCAGTGACATCTGGATGTGACCCTTGGGGACATGGTATGGGGGCGATGATGGTAGTGCTGGTGGGACTGGATAATCTCGAAGGTCTCATCCAGCCTTGCTGATTCTGTGATATTCCACCTTGTTCTTGCAAACTCTCTGTCATGCTGTCCTAACCAGATCTGGAAGGTGGCAAAAGGCCCAGATGGCAAGGCCATCGTGGAGTTCCTGTCCAACCTGGCTCGGCACACCAAGGCCGTGAACGTTGTGCGCTTCTCCCCGAGCGGTGAGATCCTGGCGTCGGGAGGAGATGGTGAGAGCTGCTTCTCTGGGCCTCGGGAGAGCTGGTTGTGATGCTGAACTACATGAAATGCATGACCCAAACAGTGGGAGGCAAAGTAAGAAGCTTCATCTGGTTTCTCCCCCAGATGCTGTTATTTTGTTGTGGAAGCTGAATGACAGTAAAGAGCTGGAGCCGTTGGTTTTTCAGGATGAAGATGAAGCTCAGCTCAACAAGGAGAACTGGGCAGTAATTAAAACTTTAAGGTAGCTTAATATTTCATGAGTTGGTTTGTCTTTTCAGTGGTTTTGGTTCCCCAGTGGCTTTTATCACCTGATGCAATCTTCAGTGTATGTTATTAATGAAGGGGGCTCAGAAAAAGGAGGGAGATAAGTCCTCACACAACAAGCTATGAAAACTGGGTTTGATGAGACCTCTGGGTGGTTCTTTAATGTTCTACCACCTTCTGCACATGGAAGATTTGTCAAAAACCTGCAAGACTTACTGTTCACTTGACCTCAGTGGTACTTTATTTGCCTCTTGATATTGATGTGCATAAAGCTCATGTAGCTGTTAATTTTTCCAATCAATCATTGCCTTCTCTCTTGGCTTCTAGAGGCCACTTAGAAGATGTGTATGATATTTGTTGGACCTCAGATGGAAATTACATGGCATCTGCCTCTGTGGATAACACAGCTATCATGTGGGATGTCAATAAAGGTAAGTGCTACATTTATCCTTTGCATCTCCAGGCCTGGAGATAGTAAATGTCTCACTGGAGGCATCCCTGGAAATGTTCACTTGCAGGTTGGATGAGGCTTGGAGCAGCCTGGGCTAGTGGAAAGTGTCCTTGCTCATGGCAGGGGGTGGAACTAGATGATCTTTAAGGTTCTTCCAGCCCAAACCAGTCAGTAATCCCATGATTAGGTTAAAAATGGGAAGCAGGTATAGGATCCAGGCTCTGATCTGCAAGCTGTGACTGTTTTCTAAGCTCCATAAGGTAAAACTCTTGTGTTCAATCTCATCACACTGCAGTGGGACTGAGGGTTGGAAGTCCTTGAGGTCCAGACTGTCCTATAGAAACATCATCATGTGTTTGCTCTGCTGTTTCACTCTTTCTCAGGCCATTTTCAGGGTCAGAGCAGTGCCCAGAGGGACTTTTGGTGTCCTCCAGCATGGCCTCAACTCTTACCTGTGTCATCCTTTTGGAGAGCTATTTATTGTCTTGGAAACTTGTCAGAGTGTTTCTGTGTAAGAAAGCAACATGTGATAGGAAAAAAAGATAGGAAAATTCCTACCTGTCACCTGTAATTCCAGAGCATTCTCTGAGAATTCTTTGTTGCTTTACCTCATCAGAGGCTTTGGCTCTGAGACATTCACCTGTGGGACATCAGTGAGGTCAGAGAACCTTTGCTGATTTGAGTTTGTAGGGAACAAGCCTTAAACTGGCACTTAAACCCCAACTATTTCTGCTCTTCTTCTCACCACATTAACACTTTTACACTTAAACAGTTGTTTCTCCATGTCCTGAAGTGGTTTTTTTTGATTTATTTCTGCAATGAAGAAATGTTTCAAGCCACATTGGAACTGAGGAGCTGAAAACTATTTGTCATTTCAGGCCAGAAGGTTTCCATATTTAATGAACACAAGAGTTATGTCCAAGGAGTTGCCTGGGACCCTCTGGGCCAGTACATTGCCACTCTGAGCTGTGACAGGTGAGTTGGACTAAGTGTTTTACCTTCATATTCTTACTTGAGGCTGAGTTAAAAGGAAGTTTACCAGAGAAACATGAGTTTTCTTTTAGTTTTGTTCAGATTGTTCCTTGTAGGTTACAGAAAGGCATAAAAGGTGAAGTACCATGCAGAATATTTTTCCACTGATCTCTTTCTTTGCCCACTTACTCCTCCACCCCCACTGGTTTTGTCAGTGATGTCATTGGCCAAGCTTAGCACACACTTCATAAACTTGGTCCTGGTCAGAGCTTTGAGTGAGTTTAAGCTGTTGAAGGCCTGTGGTGCTCAGAGCTGCCTCATAAATGTGTGTCATCTGGCACCACTGCAGCCAAAACTGCTGTCAGAATGGCAAAGGAGCTTTGATTTCAGGTTTGCAGTAAGCTGAGGGTGAGTAGGTCACCCCAATCCTGTCTTTGCTAACCATTTCTGTGAGGTTTGGGTGCCTCTGTCACCCAGAGAAGCAGTGGAACACAGGTCATGGCATGATGAACAAGTTGTTCCTGGAGTAAGTAAGTGAGGGTATGGACTAAGCTGAAGAGGGGAAGTCTCCCACCCCTCAGATGCTGTTTGCCAGGTTAGTGAGTGGCATCAGCTCAGTGGGGTCTGGGCCAGGACTGGATATTGGGATACTGGGCAGGAATTGCTCCCTGTGAGGTGCTGAGGCACAGGTTGCCCAGAGCAGCTGTGGCTGCTCCATCCCTGGGAGTGTTCCAGGCCAGGTTGGATGGGGCTTGGAGCAGCCTGGGCTGGTGGGAGGTGTCCCTGTCCATGGCAGGGTGGGATGAGATGATCTCTGAGGTCCCTTCAACCCAAACCAGTGTGTGATTCCATGACATCTAACTGTGCTCTCCACCTCGTAGGATCCTGCGGGTGTACAACACCCAAACCAAGCGAGTCGCATTCAATGTCACCAAGATGCCTTCTGGATCAGGGCCTGAAGGAGAGGTAAGTTTTTCTGCTGCAAATGAAGCTGAAAAATGTCCTGGGAATTATTTCACACGAGTTTTCTGTGAAACCAAAGGGGCAGGTATTTTCTGTTCAGGTAGTTTATAATATCTCAGAATCATCAAGGCTGGAAGAGACCTTCAAGCTCATCCAGTCCCACCATCACCTCTGCACCACCATCATCACCACTCCTAAACCACATCCCTCATGCGCTGCCTCAAAGCCTTTGGCTGTAAATGTCAAAAATAGTGTGGAAAAATTAGTATCCATGGTGAGTTCTTAACAGGAAAACCTCAGTCGTGGCTGCCAGTAGCTGTGAAGTTATTAATGGATGTGACATAGCAATAACATGTGCAAGTTCCATAATATTTTAAAGCCAGCCTGAAATTTTCACAAAGATAATCTGATTTTTAAGAAAAATAGGGAAAATAGAGGAAATTCTAACCCTAAGAAGGAAAACAAAGAGCTTTTCTCCTCCCAGCCAGGTCTGAGTGAGAATAAAATCACACCTCCAGGCTGGCTATAACCTTAATCCTTCTCTTCATGCCTTTTCTTTCTTGAGGAAAGCATTTGTAGCAGTTTTATGGGGACTGGAGAACAGGCAGTTTGCCAGGAGAGAAGTTCTCTTTCACCCTCTAACACCAGAGTTCAGATGAAGTGCCTGAGGACAGGCTTTTCTGCTGGCTGTTAAATTATGCTGCTCTCCAGGTTATTGCCAGTTTTGATTACTGGTGTAACTTGGGAGTGTTTTGATTAACAGCTGAAGAAGGATCAAGGGCTGTTTTTCTTAGCTGTGAAGAATTTAGAGCACAATGTGAGTTTGAAGGAGCCCAAGGTTTGTCAAACATTGATCTCTTCCAAGTTCCATCAGGTTGGATTGAACCACTGGGTGTTTTCTCTCCCTGGAATGCCCCTGGCCCTTGACACAGTGCTGTTGTCCATGTTGCAGGTGAAGAGCTATCGGATGTTTCATGATGACAGCATGAAGTCCTTCTTCCGCCGGCTCAGCTTCACTCCTGATGGCTCCTATCTGCTCACCCCAGGTGTGGGAGCGTGGACTGTCACTTGGGTTGTATCACAGCATCGTTCAGCCTGGAAAAGACCTCTGAGATCAAGTCCAACCTGTGACCCATCACCACCTTGTCAGCTAGACCAGAGCACTAAGTGCCATGTTCAGTCGTGCCTAGAACTCCTCCAGGGATGGTGACTCCACCACCTCCCTGGGCAGCACATTCCAGTGCCTGACAGTCCTTTCCATGGAGAAATTCCTCCTGATGGCCAGCCTGAACCTTCCCTGGCACAGCTTGAGGTGTTTCCTCTTGTTCTGTCCCTTGTTCCCTGACAGCAGAGACCAACCCTCACCTCACCACAACCTCCTTTCAGGGAGTTGTAGAGTGAGAAGGTCTCCCCTGAACCTCCTGTTCCCCCGGCTGAGCCCCACCAGCTCCCTCAGCCTTTCTAGTGTGTTCTGGTTGGAATGTGCCTCAATATTCCTTTCAAACAGCTCAGAGAAGCTGATTGGGCCTAATTCTGCCGTTCCTCATTCTCCCACCTGAAGCAAATCAAGACTCCACAATACTCTTCCATCAGCAGTCCATAACATCAACTTTCTGCTGGGATGAAAATGCTCTTGATGGCATTTTTTTATGACCAGAGCCACATAAATTGCAAGAGCAGAAATAGAAATGAAGGACAACAAGTGGTTTCTTCTGACTCGTGTCTCTTTGTGTCCTTTCTTGAGGACATTCTGCCCCCAGACAACACTGCAAGGAGGGGATCAGTGCTGTACAGGCACTGCTTTAGAGCTGTCTGACAACATCAAACAGCAGCTCTGAGGGGGAAGCACAGACTACATAAATATTTGGGACACCTTTTCAAGTTGGGTTGCCCGAGTGGACAAGCCTAATTCCCAAGAAGTTGGATGTTTATCGACCTAAATTGTGTGCTCAGGACCTTCCTGAGGGGATGAGTAATGCTGTAACCTTTGTTTTTGCAGCTGGTTGTGTGGAGTCGGGCGAAAACGTTACGAACACCACCTATGTTTTCTCCAGAAACAACCTTAAAAGGTAGAGTGGAAATAAGGTACAAATATGAGTTTATTTTTAAGCAAGTTGAGATAGTGAAGCTTTTGTTTTCTGATTCCCTGTGAAAGGCCTGTGGGGCACCTGCCATGTCCTGGGAAGGGAACTCTTGCTGTTCGCTGCTGCCCTGTCTACTTTGAGCTGAGAGGAGCATTGAATAAAGGTACTTCAAGTCCTCCAGGGAGGATCAACTTCTAGCAAATACGTGGGAAAGCCAACGTGGCTGTTTACTGTTTTATGCCCCATCCATTAGGGTAGTGTTGTACCACATCTTAGAAGCTCTTTCCTGGTTCTAAGACCCTGAATTCACCTCAAGTACCTCATGAGTAGCTTTTGATATAGTGAGTAAATGTTCTTACTTGGCCCCTCAGGCTACAGAAAATACAGTTGGGTATTTTTTCTTGCCCTATTAACCATTTTGTGCTAAAAGAAAATCACTTGGTTTAGCACTAAAGAAGCAATACAGTGAAATATTTGCTGTTAGTCTCACCTAACCACATCACAGGAGCAGCAGAGTGTTGGTCTAGCTTGCAACAACCATTGGTGTTTATTCAAGGAAGCCCAACCTGAAGCAGTGCTGGTGTTACTGGCCAGAACAGGAACTCTGAGGTGGGGAAATGGTATGAAGCTGCACAAGAACTTTCCTGGGGATTGAAATCCAACCTTAGTGTGAGCCCAGTGGGTCCAGGAGTGTTTATACTTTGACAAGAGTGATGTTCCTCTGGTACAAAGACAGAGCTTTGCTCCTTTCCTTAGAGGGTTTAGAGGTTACTTGATGTATTTCCATGGTCATCCATTGTAATGGTGTGTTGCAAAGGGAAGGAGATGAGTGTCTGCTGTTGGTCTCTGTAGCTCCTCTACAGGGAGGTTTTAATACTGAAGTTCCTAGAAAAAATTCAGCTGGAAAAGAAAGGACAAACTTAACAAAATTATAGCAATCCAAAGGGAGAAACCTGCCAATTTCTCTCTCTTAAGACAAGATGGGGCTTGGAGCAACCTGGGTTAGTGGAAGGTGTCCCTGCCCATGGCAGGGAGTGGAACAAGTGAATGCAAGAGAGAATTCTCAGTGTGCTCATTTCTTTGCTTTCCAGATGAACTCAGTCCCAAATCACCTCCTGCTCTGTTTAACCTTCCCTATCGCTTGGTGTTTGCTGTTGCCTCAGAAGATTCTGTGCTCTTCTATGACACTGAGCAGAGTTTCCCCTTTGGTTATGTGTCTAACATCCATTATCACACCCTCAGTGACATTTCCTGGTAAGTCATTGCTGTATTAAGATTTATTTTTTCTTGTGAGGGGAGAAAACATCCTTTTTATATGTCCCAAGTTCTGTGCAGCATTTTGGTCTTGCTGTGGTTTGTTTCATTTGTGACATGTGTCGTCACTGTGTCTGATTTTTTTTGCCCTGTAAACAGAGGATTTTAGTTCTCTATCAGTTGGGGGAAAAAAGTGCAAACTCCCTGGGACCAAACAGATGGAAATGTAATGGCAGTTAATATTTTGAGTGCCCATGAAACATCCTCATTGTTCAGGCACTGTAGCTGGGAGGAATGAAGTTGTGTGAAGGTTTTGGAAGTCAACTGAGTTCAGGTTTCTGTTCAAAATGGTACAGTCCTGCTTGGTGGTTCTTCAGGTGTGGGACAGAGTGGTTTATGTGACTCCCAACATGGAATCTGAGGTGTGGAGTCAGAACTGGGGGTGGAAATGGAACTCAATCAGGATATGTGCACAAGGGTTCAATGTACACATGGACTTGGGGATGGGAGGAGGGAAAGGAAAAGGTAAGTACAGCGTTATAAAAGGGAGGTGTGGGTTGAAGAGAAGTTCTGGCCTTCAATTTTAATGGAAAACCAACTGCCAATAGGTCCAGTGATGGATCCTTCCTTGCCATTTCCTCCACGGATGGATACTGCTCGTTCGTCACCTTTGAGAGGGATGAACTGGGAATCCCACTGAAGGAGCAGCCCCAGATCAGTGTCAGGACTTGTGGTGCAACAGAGAAGAAGGTGAAGAAGAACCAGTCCCACAAAGTCACACCCCCAAGCTCCAGGCTGCCAGAGGGGACTCCTCCCAGCAGGGTCACCGATCCCAGCACTGCCACCCACCAGCCCAGAACTCCCATTGCTTCTGGGAAGGACTTGCCTTCCACACCTGTTGGCATCAAAAATATTCCAGTCTCATCCTCAGAGGAGAGGAAAATGAGCCAGGCAGGCAACCAGAGCTCTAAAGCAAACCAGCCCAGGAGGATTACTCTCACCACTTTACAAGGCTGTTTCAAGACTCCAAGGTGAGATTTATATTGCTGTTTCCAGTCATAAACACATAGGCCAAGACAAGCTGTGCTTGTGCTGCATTGAAAGGTTGAGGTTTACACAGGAATTCCCAGCTCTGGGCCTTGATGGGGGCTGTCTTGACATGGAAATTTTTGTTCAGAGTCTCTCCTGAACCCTAAATGTACAGATTTTATGTTTCTGCCTGAAGTGTGAGGTAGTAGCAAAGCTCACTTGACCTTTAGCCGTGCCTAGAGGGCAGCAATAGGTGTGTGTCTTGGGCCAGGAGTTGGATTTTGGATGGTCTAGTGGAAGGTGTCTCTGCCCATGGCAGGGGGATGGACCAGATGAGCTTTAAGGTCCCTTCCAACCCAACCCATTCCATGATTCTATGATTGTCAACCAACCTGCAGTTGATACCTGAGCTCCTTGTAGGTCTTTTTGACTTATGCCTCAATCCTCTGCCACTTCTGTGCTGAATTTCCAAGTGCCATCCGGAAGAGATTTAGCAGAAGGAAATAGGTTTACTGTCATTATTAGTGGATTTCAGTGGGCAGAGAGTTCATGAGAGTTCCTGAGTCTAAGGTGCTACCACGGGCAGGGCTAAGGAATAGAGATCTCAGCCAAAGGACTGTGCTCTGAAGGTGAATATCAGCTTTGTGCCACATATAGCACAAGCAAAAGTACTTTCTAGAGGAGAGGGACATTGAGGTGCTGGAGCAGGTCCAGAGAAGAGCAGCGAGGCTGGTGAAGGGACTGGAGCACAAGTGCCATGAGGAGAGGCTGAGGGAGCTGGGGGTGTTCAGCCTGGAGAAGAGGAGGCTCAGGGGAGACCTTCTCACCCTCTGCAACTCCCTGACAGGAGGTTGGAGTCAGGTGGGGGTTGGTCTCTTCTCCCAGGCAACCAGCAGCAGGACAAGAGGGCACAGACTCAAGCTCTGCCAGGGGAGGTTTAGGTTGGATATTAGGAAGAGATTTTTACAGAGAGAGTGCTCAGGCATTGGAATGTGCTGCCCAGGGAGGTGGTGGATTCATCATCCCTGGAGGTTTTCAAGCTGAGACTGGATGTGGCACTTAGTGCCATGGTCTAGTGACCACGGTAGGGTTGGACTTAATGAGCTTGGAGGTCTTTTCCAACCTGGGTGATTCTATGATTCTGTGATAGTGGTATTTAAACTGCTAAAAAATTGCTTCATTCAACATATAACAAGAAGGCAAAATCCATAGTAAAATATACCTAAAGTACCTCTACAGTTAACTGATTCTGTATGAATTTAATAATAAAATGCTTGTGGAAATGATATCTTCAAAGCAAATTAAACTGTTTGTGCTCTTTTAAAGGAGAGTAAACTTGATTTCCTTGAAGCCAGACACACCAACATTTGCATCTGCAGACACAGCTCCTGCCCCTCCTGCCTCAGAACAGGAACAGGGTAAGGCTTTTGTGGCTCTTCATACCCAGCCAAGTCCTTTGCCAAGCAGTTTTTTTCCTTACATTTCAAAAAAACCCTAGGCTTAGTTGTAAATTTTAAAGCTTTTTCTTTATCTCGATGTGTTTGAAAGGTGCTTTTGGCAACATGCTGTGTTCTCACTGTGGTGGCTCTTGGGCAGCTGCTTATGTGACTTACATGTCACTGCAGGTTTTATAGCAATGGGTGAAATAGCTGAAACCGAATCCAAGAAGAGTAAATCACTGGATGTGATGTTCTCCAGGTCCTACACTTGGGTTTTAAAGACCTGTTTTACTCCCAGCATGTCATTGTTTCACTTTTTGGACTCTCTCACACCAAGCTTAGAGCTTTTTTGGTGAGTGCTGAATTGTTTGTGAATTCAGCAAACCAATAAACCACCTTCATCTGGATTTGCTGCTCTAAAATGATTTGCTGTGTGCTTATTGCAGAGAGGCCTTTACCATCTGATGAGAGTCTCCAAAATCCTCCAGCACCAAAACGTCCTAGAACTGAGGAAATGTCTCTTTCTGCATCTGGAGATCAAACCAGCAGTGATTCAAACAAGCTTTTAGCAAACTCTTCACAGGCTGAAGTCTGAAGTGACTTCTAAGTGCATTTCTACTCCCTGAAGACAGAACTCCTCAAGGAATGCCACAGCTTAAGGAAATCAGAGTGCTAAAAGCCACACAGTGACCTGTGAGTCTCCATCAAAGCCCCTCAGTTCATGTTTACAGAGCATTATGTCTTCCAGTAATTTGTCTGGCCAGAAGAACAGAAAGCATTCATAAGGTTTGATGTGGCTTAAGACCTAAAAACTGAGTGGAAATAGTTTCATTCCAGCATCTTGTTCAGCAGTGGGTGAAATTGTGCTCCCCAGTACCTCTGGAGCAGAGGCTGATGTGCTCTGAATGGCCAACACACACCAGGGCTGAGCTGATGGAAACAGAAATGGCAACTTGCAGCTGCAAGGAACAAGAAAGCAAAAGGAAGAAACCCTTTGGAGACCTGTTTTCAGCACGGAAGAGCAGAAGAGAGTTCTTAGTTGCTTGGTTTCTGTGTTTAAAGGAGAAACACAGGCAGGAGATTCTCCTGAGGCAGCAGGACCTGAGTGTAGACATTAGACATTTCCCCCCTCTTTTTTTTTTTTTTCCAAATCTTAGCTCTCTTAGCCATTAAAATACCCTTCAGAGAATGGTAAACTTCTAGAAGTTGATTTCTTTTTAGCATTTAATCCTTGCCCTGAGTATTTGGCATTTAATAACTGAACTGCAGTGCCCAACCACAGTGTCCTGAGCTCATCCACTTCATTTTGTTCAACATCATGGACTTGATTTGAACAGTAACATTTTAAAATGGGAATAGTTGTAGCTGGTGAGAAGCATTGAGATGTTTTAAACACAGTTTCCCCTCATGATTCAGCCTATTGGAATTCCACAACACACTAACTGTGTCTTTGCTTTCAGCCACTGTGATGAGGCTGAAGCTTCATTAGACTTACTTAAACCTGAGGTGATGAATATGAAGATCTAATTACCAAGTAAAGCCACACCTAAAACTGGTTTTCTCCCCCCAAAATTGATAGAGATAGCTAAATTAAAGCTTATGGAGTCTTGAGTTATGCTGAAGCAAGTACTTATAATTAACATGCATTACTAGACTTGATATCTTATGCTTTGACATATTGTTGGATAATAATGATACTGACACACTGTGACTTGGCTAAATTCATGCAGCACTTGGATTTTACCCTTTGTCCATGACTGAGTGTCATCATTGCTGTATTAAATGCCTCTCTTTAACACTGTGCCAGTCACAATTGCAGTTCCTGTTTTTGTGGTCCAAATTTCCTTCTCCAGGGAGCCATTCCCACCTAACATCCATACTAAGGCACTGAAAACTGCTCTCACACTGTTCCTAGACAGTGTGTCCATGTTTTGTCCCCAGCCCTTAACTCTGCTCCAAGGCAGATCATGCCCAGTGCTATTCCAGTTCTTTTCTACCTGCTTCCTAAGGTCTATTGCATAGACCTTATTGCATATATTATTCCAGGGATGCTCTTCAGTCCAGGTTTGACTTCACTGTTCCTTTTAATTGGCCAGTTGAATTGTTCATCGTTCAAATTGGCCTTGAGTTCATATTCCAGCTGGGAATGAGGTGTAGGTGTCATTGTCTTAGGTCACAGTTTATCTCAGAGCCTTCTGTAAGGATCTTCCCCATCCTGAGGGCTATCCTGCTTGTACTCTTGGATGAGACAACAATAGGATCTCACAGCAGAAAGAAGAGAAGAAAACTGATTGAATTCATTCCTAAAAGAGGCAGCAAATGACTGTTAAGCTTGGGAAGCCACAGAACTCTTCATTTGGGGTGTCCAAGCCTTATCTCATCAGCACATTTGGAACCAGTCAGTGTCCCACAGGTCAGAGCCCTGAAAACCAAACCCAGAGCTGCTAGTGTAAATATCCATGTGGACTGTGTATCTCAGGGGGTTCAACTTCAGGCAAGTGATCCTTTCCCTTCTCTAGACTGGTTTTCTTCCATGTCTCACATGGTTTTCTCTGTCTTGCCAAGAGATCTTTTAACCGATGATCTTTCTGTCCCAATTCTACACATTTTTAATACCTATACATATGAATCTATGTAACAAACACCATTCTCTCCAAATAAATTGTTGCTATTTTTTTCCAGCTTCTTTCTCAGAGTTTGCTTTCTTAGGAGTTACACTGAGGAAAGTAGATTTTGGGTGAGGATTCCTGGGTATCTTGCTCCGGGAAAAGCTTCCTGGTGTGTAGTAATGGTTTGTTTTAAGACAACTAGACACCATGTTCCTCTGCTCTTGGTGTTAGTTTTAATTTTGCTGCTATCCAGGTACCTAAATTAATATATCTTGTCATTATTTAGCCATTTCTTGACAAGATTTGCCTCTGAGTTCAAAACAGACTCACTGTTTTGTATCTGCATTCCCTGTGTTTATATGAACTTTTTTACCAAATAACCTAAAATAAGCCCCATAACTGTTGTTATCCAGGAAGAGAGGATTTTCAGGTAACAATATTGTCTGTGTGTTTCCTGCTGTGTTTCCAGATTGGATTTTAGTTGTGTTTTCTGTGAGGTGGGTTTTTTTTGCCTCTGAGGTGATAAAGCTCTTTTCTTGCCACAAACCCCTGAGTTTCACCAGCAGGTGACAGCATTCCCCACAGAAAAGCACCTCTGCTCCAAATTTACCTCTGCTTAAAGATATTTCTCATCATCTTTATTTTTCTTCACCCTAAAAATAGATTTTTTTGGGGCCTTCTTTCCACCTGGTGAGGAAGAAAAGCTGCAAATAGGCTTCTAGAAGAAAGTTTTTCCAGGAGGCAAACACAACAGGCTGACTTCAGTTAAGAGGTGAGACACTGCACAGCCTCTCCTGCTCCACTCAGCATGTCCAAAGGATTTTCTGGTGGGATTGGGTACTGCAAACTCTCTAAGGAGTCAGCCTGTCATTAGACAGTCCTGGATGGAGGTGACACTGGATGGTGGGAGCAACCAGCCAGAGGTCCTGGAAGTCTGAGTGGAGAGAATGACATGAATTTTGCTGTTGAGTCTACCAAGGAAAGAGCATTCAGGAGTATTACATTCTTCTAACACCTGAAGGAGCCTATAGGAAAGATGGAGAGAGATGGAGAGAGAATTTCCAAGGGCCTGGAGTGCCATGACAAGTGGGAATGGCTTCACACTGATAGAGTAGGGTTGGATTGGATACTGGGCAGGAATTGCTCCCTGTGAGGTGCTGAGGCACTGGCACAGGTTGCCCAGAGGAGCTGTGGCTGCTCCATCCCTGGGAGTGTTCTAGGCCAGGCTGGATGGGGCTTGGAGCAGCCTGGGCTGGTGGGAGGTGTCCCTGCCTGGGGCAGAGGTGGAACTAGATGATCTTTAAGGTCCCTTCCAGCCTGAGACATTCTTGGATTCTATGATTCACCAAGAACTATTGATTTTCATCCCAGACAGACCTGCCTGGGAGATCTCTCAGCCTTTAGGCTGCCACTAAGCTCTGAAGCAAAATTCCCACATTTGGTACCAATTATCCTCCATGACTAGCCACACAGAGCTCCACACAGCAGGTCAGTTCTCCCTCCAGGGCAGGATTTTGGGACAATGCCATTGCCTCCATGCCATTCCCCTGGGGAGTTGGCAAAGCCACAGAGATAAGCTGTGGGTGCTGAAGGCTCAAGGCCTTCCTGCTCCTCCTGCTCTCATTCTGTTGGGAAAAGGTCTTCCATGTGTGACCTGTTGATCCTCCCTGCTGCCAGTGCCTCCTGCCCTGGTGTCTAGCTGCAGGTGCTCCAACCCCAGCAAGAAGAGCTGGAATGTGCCAACAGGGAGCAGCTCAGTTTTCCCCTTCCATGTCTGCCAACCTCAGTTTTCCTTGAGCCCAAGAGCCACTTCCAGCCAAAGGATATTGCTGGGAATCCGACTGTTTATTCCCCTAGCCCTGAGGCCTCTTGGCCTGGAACCTGAGAGGTTTTGCCTCTTAGAGCATGAAGAATTAAAAAGGTTCACAGATTTCTTTCTGTCTGGAAACTGCTCATAAACTGGGGCTTGTCCAGAGTCTGAGAAAACCTGATCCTGGTGCTCTTTGAGAGAAGAACCTGTTTGTGTCTTGGAACAGAGAGGCTGTTGCCATCTTTTCCATGGGGCCTGATTGGTGTTTCACTCCCCAAAAATCTTAATTTTGGGGTTTTATTTGTGCTCCAGTTATATGAAACTGGCTTTGGGCTCAGTCCATGCATGGAATACACATCTACATGGATACACGCTCCTGCCTTGGTGGGTGTCTTGGGTCTTTCTTTTGTATTTCCCACTTGAAATGTTTTTGTTGCTAAGAATTTGACCAGGAAGGCTGAATTTGGGAGGGTATTATTTCCCTGAAATTCCTCTGTGGGTTCTTCCCAAATGCCACTTTCTCCTCCTCAGGTGTCTCAGATGTGAACCTTGGGCACAATGATGATCAACTGTGAATATAAATAATGTCTCAGAACAAACTTCTCCCATTTAGCCAGCAGAAGTAAATAAATAAGCTGGGCAGGGATTTTTGGAGGTTGATTTCAGCGAAGCTGAAACAAGGAATTCTTAAGAGCTGTTTGCTAAGGGAAATGGATCCAGGCCAGGCTGAAATGGGAATGGCTGTGGCTATCTGTGGGATCTCAGCCTGGTTAATTGAACCAGTTGGAAATGGTACTGTGAACTCAGTCCCTGAGTTCTGCCTCCTCCATGCCAGGAGCTGCAGGAGCCTCTGGATGCTTGTGTTTTCCCTTTTCCTGGCAGCACTGGGCTCGCACCAGCTGGATATACTTACAAATAAAGAGCAGGGCAGAAAAGAAGGTATGGATTTACTCCACAAGGAGGAGAATGTGTTGTCTCTGTCCTCCAGCATTCTGAACTTTGACCCCATAAAAATGCTGCATCTTTGCTGTGTGATGCGTTGTTACAAGGAGGCAATGGCTGGAGCCAGCAGCAAAAAAAATCAGTGCTGCTTGGTTGATTGTGCAGGAATAACCCACAACATTCTGCTGCTGCAATATTTTTCTGGATACAATCTGTAATTTACAGCAGCCAGGG